CCCCCTCCTCTTACCTGACCCCCTGGGCAGGCAGCGAGGAGGAGCAGGAGTGGCTGCTCCCTGCTTTAAACTCCTGGATGGTTCAGTCTCGTGTTTCCCTCCAGTTTGAACCACGCCAATACTGATAAGAAATGCAGATGTTTAAAAATATCTCAAAGAGCTGAAAATATTTGGAGTGTAGCTTTTTATTTACTTGTAGATGGAAATTTAGATGGAAATTCTCTTTTCGTTCAAAGTGTTGTGCTCATGGAACATCCCAAACTGGAAGCTCAAAATATTGCTTTATATAGCAGCATTTTGCTCTGCAGTTTAACCAATCGGGTGAATTCTTTCTATATTAGATTATGTGGGGAGTAATAAATCTGACTGAGGGCAGTGGCATATAAAAACCTTGAGAGGCAGAATAGCCACAGTACATACTTGAAATCTTCTATTTTGCAGATTAGTGGGAAAACTCCTGGGAAATAGGAATTAGACTAGACTTTTGGTTTTGTCGAAGACATAGTTCTAGAGAATCAGTGAAGCAGTAAGTATTGTAAGAATATTAAGCTTGTTAACTCCTAAGTGTGTATCTGTAAAACCAGATTTCTCTATAAAGGCAAATGTGTCATAGAATGTTGGATTTTTAACTGAGCTAATATAAGCAGTAACATATAAGTTTAGTAAACTTGTGCAGTGAGCATAATTTCTTCTAAAGCAGATGTGTTTTATAATCATCAGTATGCTGGAGGAAATCACATTGATTTCCGTATTTCTCAGCTCTTCTGGTTTTATGTCTATTAATGCTTTATCTTTCTTTTCATTGCCATTTTTTATTATATTTTTGGATTAATCTACAGCTGTCTGTATTTCTCTGTCATACATGCCATTATCTGTAACTGATTTACCTTGGTAATAAGCAGTGGATATTTTGTTACTTGTGTAGCACTTGTCTTCTTACATTTTCTTTAATTGAAGGTATATAAATGTCACTTACCTGAAACTATTTTACCGTGTTCCTCATAGTGCTTTCTTCTCAAACTTTTCATATGCACCAATAATAGCAAAGATCCAGAATATTGCTGTGCAGGAATCAAACTTACATCTTTGTGTTGCTGCTGGAGGTACAAAAATATTATCCTAGTTTTAGTTTGATCCTAGATTTTATGAAGATGAAAATGATTAGTGATGAATGTTTAGTGTAAAACATTGCATAATGAGTTATTACAAGAGAAATGCTCCATGGTTTGTGACTGCCTTCATACTAATTTTCTTAATTATTATGTCAATTAAAAAATACATTTTGGCAACAGCTAGATCATCAGCTTTCTCTTCAATTTTTTTACACAAAAGTCAGATACTTTAAATTTTTACTGAAATAACTATGTACTTGATGCTGTTGGAACAGGTATTTAGAACCTGTCAAGGAGAGTATTATATTATGTTGCTGAATACTTACTGATGTGTACTAGCAGAAAAAATTGGTAGTTAAAATACTTTACTTTCGAAGCACAAAGAAGCAAGATAAGTTGCCTGTTGAACACACAGCTGCATTCTTCTTTTACCGAAGCTACTATTAAATGTCAACTCTTAGCATTGTATAGTATTAAACAATTAAATAGGTTTGGTTTATTGATGTTTCTATTATGCATATTCTGTCTGCATTGCTATGAAGCAGGCATGTCCTCATCATGATCATCAAAAATATCTTCTTTAAATTGTTCATTTCATTAAAGAGTTCTAGTAAAAAACTGTAAAATACTAAACATAAAATTAAATCAAAGAAAAAAATTTCCCATCTCAGTCTTGACTAATTTTCCCATATAAGTACTACAAGAAGTACTGTAAAAATGGGAAGCCCATTTGGAATCAATGAAGTATCCCCCCAGGAGAAGGGAAAGGCTTATATTATTATATCTTGTACTATCATATAGATGAACAGACAGACTTCCCAAAGATTAAGGCATATTAAGCACATGGGTTGTCTCTGTGATGCTTATTTGGTTATGGAAGATCCACTTACTAGGATGTAGAGTAAAAATGCTGGATAAGGAAACAAAGGGAAAACCTGAAATAAATCCATAAAAAAAGTGCACAAGTAAATGCATTGCATTGTTTGCAGGATATTTTGGTCAATTCAAACATGTATGAAAGCCATGAAAACTATCAAGTTCCATTATTCAATGGAACTTTTCCTGGTCCTGTGTTTGATACATCTGCCTTGCTAAAGAAGTTACTCCAGTGTAGTTAACTAATGAGGTTGCATGATTTGCTAACATGTTAGAAAATTCCATCTGTTTTTTTCACATCTCAGCTTCACTGGAGAGCATATTTTATCAGAAAGCTTACCATTTTTCTGTGGTTTCGGAAGAGTTTTGCAAAACCATTAGGAATTGCACTTTCCTCTGATTTCGAGTGAGGTTTTGCAAGTTCTTTTTCTTTTAAGTCTTCACTGCAATGTTTTTCACTCAAACTACCAGGATGGTGAAGCCATACTGATTCTATTAATTATTGGTATCTGCATTCAGAGATGAATCATAGAATCATATAATATTCTGAGTGGGAAGGGACTCACAAATTAATGCTTCCCATGGTGCTTTGCTTTGATTTTTTTTGGTTTGTTTTCTTAAAATTTTATTTTATGTTGATGTTGCCATTTGCTTCCCTTAATTATGCAGTGCAGTTTTATGGTTTTCTCTGTAAATGAGATCTTTGACACGATCTGGGATGAAAATAACTTAAGAATTAATTTTTTTTTAACTCAGTTATTTCATTGATCCAGGCTGAATCTCCACAGTTGACAGAGGGGTGGAATACAGGTCAGTATATGGGTGATGGAGAATGGGAAGGAGAGGGTGAACATCTTTAGGCTGAGTTTGCACGCAGGAGCCAACCTGTTGTGCATACAAGTTTCCTACCTTGTCGAGAGAGAGGAAGATGCCTCTGAAGGCCTCCAGAGGGAGATCCTGTCTACCTCAGTTGAAGTGCCTCAAGTTTAAAGGGGATTCAGAGTAAAGCTTATAGTATAATTAAGATTACCAGTAAATTCCATAATGGCTGCTGCACCTCCATCATGAAAAATGTCTAAAATTAAGTGGATTCATTTTCCCATGAAAAAATCTATTTCAATTTCCAAGTTCTAATAATTTTTATTTTAACCTTATGATGTTGAATTTCACTCCTGAGTTCAGATATTCCTATTTATAAACATATAACTCCATGTCCCTACAATATATGTGAAACGGGGAATATGTTTTATTTTTCATCTGTGCTCTGTGCCGATATCCAGATTGCTATTTAAGGAAATAAACTGTAAAGTAAGGCAAAACAGCTAAAAATAGGACCCACTAACTAATACACACTCATCCAAGTAGAACATGTGGAAAACTTCCGCTGAGCATGCTGGAGATTTATTTTACAAAAAAAAGATTATGTTAAACCGGGGATATACACAGCCTTTTAACAGAAGAGGGGAGCTATGCCACTCTCTTAGTTTAAAACTAGCAAGGAAATGGAGAAAGGAAGAGGGAAGTTTGTGCAGCCTGTTTGGTGGACTTGATTTGGCTCAAAAATAATTGGGGGAAAAATTGGGAAGCAGAACCAAGTGAGAAGAAAGCTGGGATGTTCTCTCAGGGTGTGTCTGTATATCTATTGTTTTCATGGCATGTCAACCCAGTGGTGAACTTAAACAGAATATCTCCAGCTGAGTGATTGGAATTTGGGAAATAAATCATGGTGCCTTTCAACTGTGCCATCAGAAAAAATAATTCTAGGTTTTATATTTTTGGCACACATTTTTTTAATACTTTTTTTTTTCTGTCAAAGCAAATATTTTCATCTAGGGAGAGCATTTTCTGCCCACTGGTGTTAAGTATTTTATTGGATTATTAAGTCTAGTTAAAAAGGTCAGATAAAGGAGAAACAATCTGTTTTGAAATGAGAAGGGGGAAAAATATATTAGCAAAAAAAGTAAATACATTTTGTTGAAAAGGCAGAAGATTAGAAGGCATGAGTAAGAGGGAAAGGCATGATCTGTGCTACCAGTGTTAGTTGCTATAACCAAGCAAGTTGGAACAAACCTGCAGTGTACCAGGAAGTGAAGACCAATTATTTGTAGAGCATGAATTGTGTGGGAAGGAGAATAAAGTCCAATCTTTCTGCTTCATTTAACCCAAATGCTGAAATTTGTACCAAGGCCTGGTTTAACTGCCATTCTGGTCTATCACTAGAGCAAGGATGAGGTTAAAATTTCCATCAAAGTAAGGTAATATCTTGGCAATAGAGGAGACTCCAGTATCTTGGATTGTGTTGTTAATTTAAATCACAGTTTAATAAGCATACCTCCTTATTTTGAGCCTCTTGATAGTGTCATGTGTCTTCATCACTAGGTTCAGTTCTGCTTTTAGACATATGAACAGTTTCTGTGGTACAAGAAGCACATAACCACAGAATGGTTTGGGTTGGAAAGCATATTAAAGATTGTTGGGAAGGAAGAAAATTTAACAGAGGAGTTTTGCACATATACAGAAGGTTCTATAGGAATGAGAGCAAGTTTTGGTATAGAAGAAAAGAATTGCTGAGCCAGTCTTACTGGGTAACTAGAAGACAAAGAGCAAGTGAGTTGGAAGGGGCTTTTATGGCTTAGAGAAAGGATAAATCCACCTCAAACAAAAGATTTTTTTACCAAACAAAAGGATTTTCACAGGCAAACAAGAAAGTCAATGTTGCAAGTAGAGAAAAGATCTCAGAAATTGCAGAACAAGTCCCAAAGTTTAACATGTAACTACTAACTCTGATGATTGGCTAGTCACTAACATAATATGGTAATTTTAGCAGTTTTGATAGGTTATATGTAAACATAAAAGGTGTTGTGTATGATGTTAATTGGTAGTCATGTGTTAAGATGCTCTGTAATGAAAAGTATATAATGCATTGTAACCAGAACTAGAGAGGCTTCAGGACACACGGCTTGTCTGTAGCCAGCAGCTATAGGCTCACCCACGACCCTCAAGCTGCTGTAACCTCGTCTGTGCAATAAACAGCATTGTAAGAGCTGCTGAAGCCTCCATCTCTCCGTCAGGCTCTTACAAAAGATCATGCAGTTCCAACCCCCACACTAAATCCACTAGACCAGCTTGGTCAGAGCTCCATCCAGCCTGGCCTTGAACACTTCCAGGGTTGGGGTATCCACACTTGCTCTGGGCAGCAGTACTGAGCAGCAGCTCTGAGCTCAGAGGAGGGCCAACAGATTGATGTCTGTCTTGTACAGAGGAGCCCAGAGCTGGACACAGTATGAACAAAGGGAAGAATTTTTGCCAACATCTTTAGTATCTTTGTTTTTGTTTTTTTTTCCAGAAAACTACTTTTGAAGATGTTTTCATTTGTATATTTTTATAGGATATTGACCTATTATTCAGGGGAACAATTTCAGCTTGTATGGGACATAAAACAGAAAAAAATTATTTTCTAATTGAAAAAAAAAAGCAGATTAGACGACTATTACACATTGAGTAGATGATGTTTGGGGACTGGGATGTTTTGTATCCTATGATTTTTTTTTTTTAAATTCAAAGCCTGTCCTAACCAGTTTATCAAGGAATGTTTTCTTATTAATCCAAAGGAAAGCAACTGCATGCATGAGACTATACATAAAGTAACTGTACCTTCATATTGCACTGAGGCATTTTACCGTGTATGAAATTCTGATGCACAGAACTGAGACAGTTGACTGTGCTGATCAATAAACACATGAAACATGAATTGCTTGAGCAAGAATTGAGTGTTTACAATTTGTAGGAAAAAAGTGATGAATGCAAGCAAAAAGCAGTAACTTGTAGGAAATAAAGTCGATTGCTCTGGAGACAGGCAGCTCTCACTATTTGTTCTGAATACTCTGGTTTAATAATTATAACTCATGTTAATTCAGAAAACAGATGTTAAGCTGATGAGAACCAAACCATTGTTACATTTTTCCAGTTCTGTTGTGAAATTTTAGTTCAACTTCAGTAAATAAAGTCCCAGTGCAGTTAGTGGAAACCCTGGGGTAAGAGTAAAATGAAGCCCTCAGACTTTGCTCAGCTTCCCTTAGTGCATTACACAGCTGGATGAAACTCTGCATCAGTGAAATGATGGTGATAACCCTTCCATCTCCCCACAGAATGGGAGCAAAGCTCAAGTACGTCAGATGGGATGGTCCAGTGAATTGGAAATAAATTGGTACTGCACCCAAATCTACTGCTTGGTTTCATTTTTTGAAAAATAGTTTATTTATGCTGTTCTTTGACTCATCTACTTCACCTACTGTCTGTAGTGGATGAGGTACTTCATGATGAAAAGTAAGGAGTCAGCACTTGACATGTGGAGTAAAAAGCCTGTATTGTCAAGAAAAATTAAATTTGAAAGTATGAGGGGAGGAGTAACATTAATTTTTTGAGGTGTAAGTAACAGTTAAAGCTGGTGTTCCTTGTTTTGAAAGCATTTTCGTTTTTGACTTTTCTCATATGTTTTGATAACTTAAAAAAATTTAAGAGTTGAATCAAATAATAAAGCATTTGAGTTAGAGATGTAAAGAGGCCAGTGAGTAATCCCTGCAAGGAAAAAAGGGTAGAGTTTTTTCTTTGCTTCAATTAACTTTCACATACTCACTTTCATAAATTTCTAAGCTATGGCCTATGAATTAATTAGTGCTTTGGAACTTTGGAGACAGGAATACAGTGTAGCAGCTCTCCTCATTTCCATGCTTGTCAGTATTGAGCAGCAGTGTGAAGAAGAGGACTAGAAATAAGAATAGTTAATGTTCTCTGCTGTGAAAGCAGGCCACAGTCCAAATTAAATTAATTGCATTTTATTTAACTATGTATGTATTTATTTATTTACTGTCTGGTTCTCTTCATCCAAAATATACCTTATTCTTGGGCTGCAAATCTTGAGGAAGAGATGTGACTGAGATTTTGTCTGTGTGTGCATATATGTAAATGCATTTATATACATATTCACATATACAGAAATATACACAAAATAAGCATAGCTGTGCTGCTTTTGGCTGGGATGGAGTGATTTTTGGTGCCCGTTGTGGAGCTTGAAGGGTTTGAGATGACAACACATTTGAAATGAGAGTGCTAGATTGAATTTATAGCTGTTAGTGCTGTCTAGTTGTTAATTGGCAGGCTTCTATGTTTGCCATGGGGCTTGCTGGCCTGTTAGAGTCTAGTGCTTGTTAGTGGCTGATTTTTGCAGTGACTGTCGTGGTTTACCCCCAGCCAACAACTGAGCACCACGCAGCTGCTTGCTCACTCCTCTCCAGTGGACCTGGGAAGAGAAGGAGAAGGCTAAATATGAGAAAACTCATGGCTTGAGACAAAAACAGTTGAATAGTAAAGCATGCACATGAACAAAAAAGAACAAGGAATTCATTCCACTTCCCATGGACAGTTAGATTTTCAGCCATCTCCAGGAAAGCAGGGTTCCATCACATGTAATGGTCACTCAACACCATAATTCTGAATTTCTGCCCCCTTCCTCTTTTTTCCCCCCCAGGTTTCTGTGCTGAGTGTGACACTGTAGAGAGCATCCAAAGAACGGCAGCAAAGATGGCTGAGGTACCTTGGTCTGTTCAGCCTGGCAGAGACTGACGGGAGCCCTCATTGCAGTTAAAACTTCCTTGTAAGGGGAAGAGGAGGGCCAGGCACTGGAACAGCCTCCCCAGGGAAGCAGTCATAGTGCCAAGGCTGACAGACTTAAAGAAGCATTTGGACAATGCTCTCAGGCACATGGTGTGACTTTTGGGGATGTCCTGTGCAGTGCTAGGAGCTGGACTCGATGATCCTTGAGGGTACCTTCCAGCTCAGCATATTTCTGTGATTTTGTTATATGTTATGGGATATTCCTTTGGCCAGTTGGGGTAAGCTGTCCAGGCTGTGTCCCCTCCCAGCTCCTTGTGCACCCTCAGCTCACTTACTCTTGGGGTGGTGTGAGAAGCAGAAAAGGCCTTTGTATTGTGTCAGCACTGCTCAACTGTAACAAAAATATACCTGTGTTAATACTGTTTTCAGCAAAAAAAAATCCAAAAAACCTTCCTAGCTACTGTAATGAGCATTATCTCAGCCCAAACCAGCACATTAGTTTTTAGAGATACTTATTTTTATATTTTGAGTTTTTTGTATTTTATGCGCATACATGGAGGCTTCTATACACATGTAGACTGTACACAGACATACATACGTGTGTCTGTGTGTGTATGTATGTGTGCATTAGGCATGCATGCATGGAGATTTTTAGGAGATTTAGGATGTTAGGGATTTTTGACTTATTTTGCCAGCAGAGGAGCATGTGAGGATTTTTTGTTCTCCATTTTCCCCAGTCTTCTTTTTCACCCCAAAAAAACTCATTGAGATGAATCGACGTGTAGTGGCATTCCTGCTTAATCTCAGAGAGGAGAAAATTGTTTGGACATTAATGTTGGTTAGAAAGACCATGTCTTCATTACAGTTTTTAAACAGATGTGTAATTGGTGGATGGGGTTGACTGCTTTCTGTCAGTATTCTGCGAATCACTACAGCTGAAAGTTGACAGCATCTTGTGGATCATGGCTGTTTTCTAATTATTTCCAGTGTCTTGCCTTTAATTTAATTAACCTTTTTTGTGTGTGTTTGTGGTTAAGGCTGAGTTATTAGAGGTATAACTGTCCCCTTAGTTACTGAATTTTCCTTGTAGATGTATATATATCTTATATATAAGAATCTGCTTAGGTACTATTCAGTAATTACCAATTTTCCATCTGTTTTTGAGGCTGAATAGCTAGTTACAAATGAGAATTGAGGGTAACTTTTCCTTTGAGTCTGGAAGGGAGAGAGTAAACAGAATCATGGCTTTAAATGATCTTACTGCATTAACTGGGATCCTGTCAGTTTGTTGTAACAAAATATTAAAACCATTAAGGTGGGTCTGAGGGCAAATGCCTTTTCTTAAACAAACTGCTGATGAATATGAGATATATGACCCATATGAGATCCAGTGATAGAGTCAGCTAAGCAGGATTATCAGACTGATAAATGGATATTTCCTTTTCATGTATGAGCTTGACTGGTTATCTCAAATAATTTTAAGACATATGTTTTAGAAACAAGTCTTTAGTGCAGTATTTTTGTGAGGTCATTAGTGCAATGTTCATCACAGTCCATACTAAGCTTAATAGTTTAGCATTGTGCCTGCTTTCCATCTAAAACACCTTTACCTCCAGCCCACAATCCTTTCCAAAACCAGTTGTATGCTGAGTTAAAAGATACATAAACCGTGATCTGATCTCTGGTTCAGATTTAATCTTAAATTCATTTTGCAGTGTATTCTGGGTGGTGTAAGGAGAAATTTGGTTCTATATATTTTTTATCATCTCAGTTTTATTGTGCTCATAGTCTACTGAATGATACTATTCATATTCTACCTTGATTTTGCTCCTTTATTTTGCTCATAATCTACTTTGATAACTGTTAGAGGGGAAAAAAACCCAAACCTTTAAAAATTTGATTTTATCTTTGCCTGTTTTGGTTTGCTGAGTTAAGAACTGTAAGGCAGTATGTACACTTCCAGCATTAGTCAGAGATATTAAACAAAAGTTTAATAAGTGATCTGTTTCTCTGTTATCTGTATTAATTTTGTCTTCTGTTTTACATTTGTATGTGTACAGCAGCAGATACTTTCACCTAACAACTGGTAGCATCTGGAGGAGTCATCCATGTAATATTAATGTTACTTTTTTTTTCCTAAGAAAAAATACATGTTTAAATAGCTAGGATATTCAAACAGACTTATTTTTAAAATTAATTTCTGCTCACTGATGCTCAGTGATCATTTTGCACATCATTCCTTTGATCTGAATGTTTTTTTAATGTCAGATTGATGTTTTGGTAGAAAAGCTGCTTGTAAATACAGAATGACATAAAAATGTAAATTCTTGAATGTTAGAAAAAGCTATTTTAAAAACTCTGCTTTAATGTTCCAGTGGTTTACTTTAAGGAACAAACAGTTCATTTTTAAACATCCTGCTAGATGCAACTTTTACCAAATGAGCTGGACTGGGATTTTTTTATGTGTGTCTCTTCATTGCTCTCATATTCTGGATATACCTTCCCTTTTGAGCATAAAACTGTATTTCCAGCGTGTGAGGGTATGTGAAGGCTGGCAGATTTCTTAAACTTGCCTGCAGTGATCTGAAGCACGAGATTAAAGGTTGTCTGTCCCCAACAGAAGGAGTACTTGACATTCTTGGCTTTATTAGACATATGACGGTACATTTTGAAAAGAGTTTAAAATCATATTGCTTTAAATAGTCCATCCATCAGCTCATTTACTGATGGTCCATGTAATATTTCTGATGATGAGAAAGTGCAAGAAATCAGAGAATGTATTTTTAACCATTGACCAAGTTAATCTTAGATTTCCTGCTCTTCAGAATTATTGTTATTGAGATTTTTAGAGCAGTTTTTTTTCCTGAAAAATAATTCAGATCTATTTTTCTTGGGGTTTTAGGAGGAGTTCTCCCTTTTCTTTTTTAATTAAAAAAAATTAAAAATACACATTAGAAAAGAACTGTTATTCCTATTCTCGTATCTTTACCTGAGAGCCCCTTAACTTCAAAATTATAATAATTTGGAGGGAAGGGGTTTGCATTTTCCATTCCAAGGGAGGTTTGTGCCTTCCTTAGTAGACACCTGTCTTTCAAACCAAGACAATTTGAGTTAATCACTGAAGCATATATAAAACAACATAAAATATTTTTCTCCAGGGAGGTCTAATGTAGTTTGGTTAATTCTGTGTGTGTATTTTTGTGGATGACCATTATATTATCCCCTTCTGTTTTCACTGTCTTTAACCATGAAAAGTGGGAATTGATACAGTCACTCACTTCTATAAGTGTTGAGACCTCAGATAAAAACAACTTATAGTTGTTGCTAGCAATCTGCTGAGGCCTGACCACTAAGATACCTACAGATAATTTTTTCAGCCACTTGAATCCCAGTCTTAATACACTTTATTAAAGAGGAAGAATGTAAGAAATAAGTGGTTTGAGTCTGATCTTTCCTATGGACCATTTTCCTTTTTCATCTTCAAAGGGAGGAAATAGCCAGGCAATCTAGGAGCAACGGAGAAATGAACACGTATAATATACATACAAAAATCCCAAGAGTTGGAAATGTAATGATGAATACCTACAGTGGGTAGTAATCAGTAAAGCCTAGATATTTTTATTTATTTATCACCATTTTGCAGTGACTCTAATCCCTGCATTGGGTGCATCATCAATCTCTTTGGCAATTTGTATGCAGACAGAATTCTGCAAAAACAAGTCATCTGCTTGGATTTTCACTGTCAGGACTGACTTTCATTTGCCTTGATCAAAATAAATCCTGAAGTTTACTGTAACCTAAGCTCTCGATCTAAATGTTACATTTATAATTAGCTTTTGTGTTTGTGAGTTGGGTTGGGGTGGTGATGAGGGTGGCTTGTGTTTGGTTGTTTATTGATTGCCTGCTTTATTTTATTTAACTAAGATATGGTATTTTTCATGCAGAGAATCCAACTGACATTTGGTAAGCATGAATATCAGATATTGGAGTTTGTAACTCAGAGAATTGGCAAAGAAAAGCAAACAGAATAAAAAAGGCAAAGCAGAAATGAGTCTAGACCAGCAAAAATGACAGTCACAGCTAATATTCATCTTTCCTAATATTGAGCCGGTCACTTCCACTTTATAATGAGCAGAGAGAAATGGGCACCATTAGGGTGATGTCTGGTCTTGTTTAGACGCTTCAGGATAAAGTACCTCAAATATTTGTATTATATAAATATATCGAATATATACTATATATATGTGTATATATCTATATATATCTCTCAAAAAAATTGTTTTCTAACCTTTCCTCCACTGTCTACCCAGGCAGGCTAGGGGGACAGATCCCCCAGTGCTGCCTCCTATTGGCATCAGCTTTTGCAAGGAGAACAAAGGGGTATGAAGAGAGGTGCTTTGTCTACACAGTCCAAGTGCAAGGTCCTGCGCCTGTGTTGGGGGTAATCCCAGATAGGAATACAGACTGCAAGAAGTCACTGGGAGTGGCTCTGCAGAAAAGGACTTGGAGATTCTTGTGGGTGAAAAGCTGGACATAAGATGCTGGACATGAGATGCTGGACATCAGCCAGTAGTGTGCACATGCAGCCCAGAAGGCCAACCACATCCTGGACTGCATCAAAAGCAGTGTGGCCAGCAGGTTGAGAGAGGTAATTCTCCCTCTCCTCTGCCCTCGTGAGACCCTAGCTGGAGAGCTGCATCCAGCTCTGGGGTGCTCAGCACAAAGTTGTGCACCTTGTATAGTGAGTCCAGAGGAGGGCCATGAAGATTGAAAACCTTCCCTACAACAGAGCTATGGGAGCTGGGATTGTTCAGCATGGAGAAGGCTCCAGGGAGACTTTATTGCAACCTTACAGTTCCTTAAGGGGACTTATAAAATGGAGAGAGAGTGACTTTTTATAGAGGCAGGGAGTGACAGGAAAAGGGGCAATGGTTTTAAAGGGTAAGAGGGCAGGTTTGGATTAGATATTAGAAAGAAATGTGAGTGGTGAAGCACTAGTGCAGGTTGCCCAGAAAAGTTGTGGATGCCCCATTGCTGTAAGTATTCAAGGCTGGATAGGCTGGGACTTGGAGCAACCTGACCTAGTGAAAGGTGTCCCTGCCCATAGCAGTGGGATTGGAACTAAGTGGTCTTTAAGGTCCCCTCCAACCCACTCCCGTCTATGATCTTTATCATATTGCTTCAAGTCAGGCCTGTGGTACAATCACAAGTAGGATTCTGAGTTGTAAAGGAAGCAACCTAATGACTCACAAAATAAAACTCATTAGAGGAAAAATTTTACGTCTTTCAACAGTAAGGAGAAGTCTAATGAAGTGATGTCTGGGTGAAATAACATTTTCCATCTTCGTTGTGTTAGTAGAGTTCATCCCATCCTTCCAAAAGAGGATTCAGCTATACTCTTCAGTACATGTTGAAAGCACAGTTAAACATCAGCTACTTTTTTTCCTCAGGTGTATTAGTCTAGAGAAAGAACCAGTGTCTCTTTTGTGACTGAATATTCTATTGACTAAATTATTTCTGTGCTTGATGTGAAGAATGGGAGGTGATTTCCTCTTGCATAGTGTTTGATAGATTTTCTTTCCCATACCACTGCTGGGGGATGTTTATCAGAGGGATAATGGACATAGTAGTCCCTTTTTATTGTCCTCATCATTACATGTGAGCCACTGATTGCCATAGGGGGAACAGCTATATAGCATTTCTCCACATCTACATTGTGTCTGTGTCCAGCTGTGTCACTTCTGTGCTCTCCCATTCTTGTTGCATGGAAACATAGAATGGTGTGTGTTCAAAGGGACCTTATAGATCTTGTTCCAACCCCCCTGCCATGGGCGGGGACACCTTCCACTAGACCAGGTTGTTTGGGGTCCCATCCAACCTGGCCTTCAATGCTTCTAGGAATGGGGCATCAGCAGCTTCTCTGGGCGACCTGTTCCAATGCCTCACCACCCTCCCAGTAAAGAATATCTTCCTCATCTCTAATCTCAATTTATTCTCTTTCTGTTTAAAGCCAGTCTCCCTTGTCATGTTCAATTGGATATTCAACATCCAGAATTTATTTTTAGGGACAGCTGAGACCTTGATCACAGTTCTCAAAGACTTTAATAGACCAAATCATAGCTGTATCAGAGACTTCCTTCTGTCTATGCTTCACAAAATAAGTTTAATTCTAGTAGCTAATCAGACACTAGGGGGAAAGTACTTGAATTTCAAGAGGAGTTTCTAGGCTAAAGATGTGCATTTTGTCCCTGTCCCACAATATGACTAGATGTGTGGAGGAGCACAAATCCCTCTTGAGTCATTAGCAACAGTGCTGTCTCTTTTAGGACAGTCTAATGGTATATTGATATTTCAGAGCAGTGAATTCCCTACAATTAAGAGCCAAATCTAACCTGTTGAAAACATTTAAATAATAGAAGTTTTGAAGAAAGATGGCTCTGTGTGGTGTTTTGTAACGCTAAGAGGACAATTTGACAGGATTACTGAAAAGTCAATCATACGCATTTTTGAAACAATTATCATCTTCCATAGTCCACATTTTCTCGTGAAGAAGAGGTGTTGCTTTCTCACTGTTTAATATTTTGGGCACAAGAACAAGGAGATTTCAGTGTCACATATTACATAAAGTTTGGAGACTTTGCATGACAACTCCCTGCCTTCCCCCTCTCCCTCCCTCCGCTCCCCCTGCCAAGCTGTTTGAAGCTGCATTGTAGAATATTTTCCATAGAAACCTCCATGGAGATGTCTTTGTGGAGTTTTCTTTGTAGTTCAACACTTGGGATCAAAATTTTGCTGGTTCTCGGTGGCAGCGGGTGCACTTTTAGTAGCTACCAATTCAGAGATTGTCTGTCTCTTGTAGCTGGTTCCCTCTGCTTTCCCTGCCTTATCTTCGGGCTGGGGGGAAAAATGAACCATAGGCAAGAAATGATACAGCCTCAGACAACTTTATTTTAATTGCATGTACTTGGTAGACCAGGAACAGTATGAGATGGGAAAGGAAGAAATGAGGTCAACATTGCACAGATGTGGAAGTATGATTTCACTGAGCTGCATTGGGATTTGTACATTATCTGGCCCACAGCTACTGCTTGCATTCAAACCGCTGCTGTCTGATGAACTACACTTTTAATTATTTTTTAAGGGCATCAAGAGTCTGCAGTTGATGTCCTTTTATTCTTGTCTAGGTTGTCTACCACTTTTAATTAAAGAAGATTTTTGTACCTCTATTAAGTCTATTATTTACTGCAGGCCTTTGGAAATCAGCAGAGATAAAGCCAAAAAAGTGCTTTTTCTTTGTTGCTTGAAATCCTAGAGTGTTTTTTTAGCTAAGTTAAAAAAGATTGAAAACAGATACTCTTTTTCTCGTGTTGCTTTTGTTGTCTGCAGAATTTTGGCAGCTTGTGAAAACACTGCCTGAGCACAAATATTCCTATCAAAATCTGGTCCCACACCTTCTGTCAGCAGCGTACAGTGCTTTACTGGGAAGCATGGAGGAAGTGGTATCACTTCTCCAAGAAGGGCAGAACTTTTTATTGATTTTATTTAGCAGATGGACAGGATTCAAAAAGTTTGGTAAGAGTGAAGGCAAGATGCTGGGGCTGTAGTTTGAAAGTGCCATGTCTCACCATGTGTGTAAGGAAGCCAGAGATTACAAGGATAGGAAAGCTGATTGTATGAATTAGATGAGTGATATACAAAGGAGGCTGTGTATGAACCTTGCTTCCTCCTTAAAGGATTAACTAAAACAACTTTAGCATGGATGGCCACTAAAATTGCAAGTTGTCTGCCTTTTGGATGTTATTTATGGCAAAACTGGACTCTTACCATTTCTCCTGAGGTATCTAGAGACGTTACATGATAAGTCCATCTGTTAACTACAGGATTGAGCAGTCTGTAAAATTGTGACTGGAGACAAACTCTGAAGTTCTGTCCCCAGTTCCATCAGTGATTCACTGCCCTTATTTATACAAGGGGAAAATTATGTTCTTATTCCACAGATCAGATAAGAAGATAACATGCACTGATGCTTGAATAATGTGATGATGAAGAGTGTCTTCTTAAAAGGAAATTAACAGTTCTGAAGCCAACAGGAAGACTGGGTAGTGTAGCATCCCCAAATGATCAGGATGAAAAGAAATACATTATTTTCTTGCTCTTTAAGCAGCTTATATCCTTCTCACTGTCTCACCTGCCTGGAGTTGAGGCTTCAGTGGAAAGAAATAGTGTATCATTTTGTAATTGCAGATCTGTAAAAATGTTTTTGTCATTCACAGAGCTAAATAACAACTGCTTAGCCAAACTATTCTGGTTTAGCTTTAGTTTCTTAGTACTTGACTTTACCACTTAAAAAATTGTTCAGTGAGTGTAATGTGTTATTGAATGTAATGTGTAATGTAAGATTTTTGAAATAAAGATAGAGTCAGTAAAAATACTTGTTTCTTGCTTCTCTCTCCCTTATAATTGGACAAATGCTTCTCATGGTCCAAATAGTAACATTTATGTTGCTACTGCTGATCGTATAATCAGGGCTTTTAATTTTCTGTAAGAAAAGTGGGAGTGGATTTTTTTTATTGTTTTGTGTAAATAGTAAAGTGCTACAGAGTATAATTAAATGTCTCTTCTGGCCTGTCTTATTTCAGGAGATAGCTTCTCTGTTTGGTTTTGGTGTTGTATTAAGTCTGGCTAGAAGTGGATATTTTGCAGGCTGCAAGGAAATTGTATCAAACTTTCTCTCAGGCTTCTTTCAGCTAAAGCTCTTTACCAAGAAATTCTAGTAATCATTTTCGTAGGAAAAAATTCTATTTATAGCTTAGCTCTCTCTCCACTCACATGTTTTGGTGGTTTTTTTTGTTGTTGCTAAGTTCCTAGAGAGCTCTAGGAGTGAAGGGAAAATATATCTAACAAAGTCTTCTTTAAACAGACCTTTTATCTTCTGCTTATTCTGCAAAGAAGACATTACCTGTTTTTAGGCAGTCTTCTCCTAATAGGGATGAGCAGCTTCCTGTTATAAAATCATGACCTTCTCACTCTGTTTCATGAAGAATGAGGCTGGTAATCAGGATTTTCCAGAGTGTACCCTGTATTGTAGAATTGATCTTCCTCTTCTATTTAGTTAATTCTTAGGAAAGAAGTCTTTTGCTTAGCAAAAGAAAAATTCTGTGGAAGAGAAAAGATAAAAAATACTTGAAATCATGCTTTGATTTAATGACTTTCTGGTCTCTCTGTGAAATATCTGTACTTGGGACATTGCACTCTGAAGAATTTTTTTGTAAGGCAGTTGTCCAAGCTGCACATGGATATCCAAACCTGTTTAGCTGCTGAACCACAATTTATTGTTTGACTAGACTAAATTTGTTTATAAACCTCTTGCAGTTTGGTTACTTACTGTATAATAAGAATTACTCCATTGCCTGAAGATGTGGAAGGGGGGAAGCATTATTTTCATGTCTCTTTCCTTCCTGGGTGAATTTTCTTATCTTTTTTACTTTTTTCATTCCATGGAGAGGATAAATACATTTTAATCTAATTTAAAATAGAATTTGATTCTTTAGATACGCCCTTGTCTATGGCACCCTAACTGAACATTGGAAGACTTGTTAATTATAAAAGAAAGTGAGAGACCATTTAATGTTTCCCTGTAATGTTTTTCATATAATGATTTGTGAAGCATCCAAATTCTTTCAGTTCTCTTTCGTAAGTTAGAACTTTCTTTCAGTAGAAATGTGAGCTCTAAAGGGTAATTGACAAACTACAGAGTGTGGGTATGAGAAACAAAAATGAAATAGAAAAGTTTTAAATATTGTGGAGAACAGAGAACTGGTCCTTTATAATTAAACCTTTGATAGCATCACTGAGCCA